GTCTCTTGCTCAAACTTCACTCCTCAAGGAATTTGCTCTGGACAGTGGAGATGAGGAGGGATCTCCTCCATTTCCAAGTCAGTGGGTTGTACATGTGTAGGTGAGCACATATCCAGTCACTCATGCTCTTCATTCCTAGGAGATCACTTCATTGCCTTTATCCTCTCTTCAAAACCTTGTAGTTTAACAGATGAGGCAAACCACACTCAAAAGATGGATGAAGGTGATGGGAAAAAACCTCGAGCTTGTCCCCTATGAAGACATTTTTGAAAAGTTATATCTGAGGAAGCTGCCAGAAATGTAACATCTGCTAAGGTTCTTCACTCCCTTGAGTAGGCAGAAGCAGCAAATGGGGTCTCTTTGCAGCTCTGCATTGCATGGGGTTTCACAGAGCTTCCCTTGTACCTAAAGTCTACCTCTGTTAGAACAGTCAGCAATGTCGTTTGTCTACATGGCTGCCTGTATGCAATTTCACGGGTGCTGAATTCTGTAATTTTTCCTATTGCCATTATTGATTGTCTGCTTCTATCATGTTATTTTGTGACATGACTTGGATCCTCCAAACCCTGTGTGGAGCAAATTGGTCAGAATGAGCCATATATAAACTGATAGCACTTCTGGATTACTGTTTTCCCGCCGTGTTAGCCTACCACAAAAATAATTCAGAACTTGTAATTCACTTGCAAATGATCCTCATGTAAATGCAGAGGTATCAAAATTTGAAAGGTCACTCATCCTTGAAATCAGCACAATTGATTTTATATAGCTTGCTGTCAAAAACTGATTTTATGTTCGTGAGTCATGACCTAATAGATTTTGTGAAGCCTGCTACCTTAAATAATAGTGCTCAGTGAATAGTAAAATAATGAATTGTAAAACATCATTTGTGATATGTCATCACATATGTTACTGAAAGTTGTCCTGTGTAGAACTAAGAAATGTCTAGATGCTTATTTGCTTATTATCATATATTGTGTAAAAATTTGTCCTCCTGTTTAAAGTAGACTACTGATGGAGACCAGAATATAAAAGATTGTTAGAAAAACAAAAATAAAAAAAACCCAACAAAACAAAACAAAAGAAAATTAGGTATTCCTAGGTATTCCTAGCCTTCCTAGATTTTAGGAAGAAGTTCTTTAGTATGAGGTGCTGAGACACTGGAGCAGGTTTTCCAGAAAAGTCGAGGATGTCTCATTCCTGGAAGTGTTCAAGGCCAGCTTGGATGAGGCTTTGAGCAAACTGGTCTAGTGGAAAGTCTTCCTGACCAGGGTAGGGGGTTTGGAACTGTGTGATCTTTAAGATTCCTTCCAACTGAAACAATTCTATGATTCTGTCCTAGTTAGAACAGCTGGGACCAGTTCATCACTGTATGGGTGTAACCCAAAACTGTGTATTCTATAGCCTTCCATGCCATTTCCCAGAAACTGTTATCAGTAGACCATTTACACCACCTACCCAGAGCAGCCTGACTCCTCAGGCTATAAGCTGGGTGTTAAGAGGCCTGCGAGATAGGAGGATGCTCCTGTTCTCATACCCATTGTGGAACTCCCTGCCCTGAGGGAGGTACTGGGCATTCCTGCCTGAACTGGAGGATATATAATCTTGGAGTCTTGGGACTTTTTTAACCATTTGTGGGATCCAGAGGAAGACTGCAGACCACCACTCTCAACCAGACTGAAGACCACTACTCTCGACTGGACTGCAACCACCACTTTTCAACCAGACTGCAACCATCACTCTTGACCAGACTGCACCAGCACTCTCACCAACAGGTTTTCCCCTCTCCTTTTACTTTGGACTCAGGGGGCCCAAAGAACACCACTCTGTTCATGCCCCAGGGTGCTGGGTTATACATTTGGGTTTTGTGGGTTAAAATCAATTGTTTGTCTGTATAATCGAACTTATTATATTATATTACTAAATTGTTATTCTGACTTATAATCTCTCTTTTGAGTTGGGTTCATTTCCCCTGCCGGTTTACCTTTAAACCAGCACAGATTCTATGCTCTGTAGTTTTTCCATCAATGGAAGCATAGATTTACAGTTAATGTAACCACTCAAGTAAACAGGCATTTATGAAATCATTCCCTTGCCTTGTGGATTAAACACCAAAGCCAAAATTCTGAACAAAGAGTTAATATTTCATATGATTGACTACATATTGCTAAGTGTTGAATTCTCAGGAAATTCAACCAAAATCACCTGTAAATTTTGAGGCTTAGCCCTTGAAAGAATAGTCAGAATCATGGCATACAGGGAGGGATGTAAAAATAAATAAATATATGGGGGAGGTTTCTTCAAATTTAAAATTAGTACATGTGCAGCACATCTCCTTTCAGTAATTTCCTCAGTCATCCTGAGGTAAAATCCTTTCAATGTTCATTGGGATCTCAGTACTGGATTCAAGCTGCAGCCCTGCCACACTGAATATCCTCTGTTCCTCCACCATGTTCCACTGTGGTCCTGCTACAACAGCGATATTAGCAGCGTCAATACGAATTAACATTTCTTCTTTCTTTAAATAATGTTCCAAATGCTGCTGCAACTCCTCATAGGCTTTAGCACTGATCACAGTTTCTGCTTAAAAATCTGGTTGGAGTAAACACTGAAGGTACTCATTTAGTGACTGATATCAACAGGGATGAGTTCGATTCTTATTTTCCACAACATTAGTTGTGTCTGTTTGAGGAGAAACATTTCAAATTATCTAAAGCATAAAGCAATGGAAGGATATTTTTTTTCCACATATACATAGCTACATACCATAGATATAGTCACATATGGTAATACATCAACAGAGTGGTTATGCAAAGATTCTTCTCCATTACTGTAGGCTGTTAAGTGCATGTAACCAGGGCAGTACCAGAAAGATTTAAATGTAACCTTTAGAAACACTTTTGCTTGGTTAGTGAGATTTATAGGGCATGGATGGGAAGGGTGGTGGATGTGAACTAGTTTTCTGTTAAAATACAGTGTGATACTTGTGGATTAATTCTGTTCACACGAGTGTGGAACAGCAATCTTTCTTTGAGAGGTTAATAAAAAAAAATTCTTACTATAGCATCCCAAAATTTCAAGCTCTTTTTGTCTCAAATGAGTTAATAATCCCACCATCCAAAACCCAATAACTATTTATTCCCTGGAGCAAACACTTGGTCATTTTTTGAAGCAGTTTCTCAGAGGATTTTCTAACCAATTTCTCAGAGCTAGTTATTAGAAGGGTATGAACTGTGGGAATAGGGCTGTAACTGCTGTACACAGGTGCCTTTACTTTCTCATCCTCATGGTCAGAAAATTTCATTGCTGAGAAATGTCAGAGGTACAGTACTAACTTCTAAAGTTGTGCTGGTTTTACTTACAGTACAGGATCTTTCTTCCATTTATAGTCATATCCTTGGCTAGACCCTCCTTCTCTAGGAATAGACTATCCTTAGTCCAGCCTGTCTTTGGTTGACTGTTAAGACTGGCAGCTGCTGGCCAAAATAAACATCTTTTCTGCTAGTTTAGGGTGTCCAACTGTCCTTAGCTTCACCACACACACACTATCCTTCCTCTTGTATGGGAGCATAACCATGTAGAGGTGTTTATTCTGATCTGTGGCTGTTGTATCTGAATGGGTGACTTTGGTTAGCTCTTATGAGCTACAAGTTTATTTTAGGGAGGATAAGAACCTGAAGTTATAAAGACATGGAACAAGCTTATTGTCTCAGAGTAAAGAATTTACAAGAAAAGAAAATCTTTCCAGTGTTTTGCTTTGCAGCCACGCTTTAGGAGGCCTAAGGCAAAGGGACAGGATCCCATTACCATGTGGAAAACTTCTCCACTTCTCTAATAATTTTGCATTATTTTTATAATTGTTTTCCCAACAGGTTCAAAACTCAAAAATATTTGTTTTTGTCCCTAATGGCAATAGTTAAGGTGCAGAACAGATCCCAACTGGAGCCAGCAGCTTGCACAAGAGTGGCTGAGGAGGCAAGGGCAAGGCCTGGAATAACAGTGTCTGCCCCCCATTCCCACAAAGGGCAGACCTGGAAAGCACCAGTGACGAGGAGCGTGGGGACCAGGTCAGGCAAACAGGGCCTGGCACCTCAGCCAAGGTGTGGAGAGGCAGCTTGCGTTGAAGGGCACCTCTTTGAACGTGGGGCATTCCACTAGCCAAGTGAAGAGACTTGTAGTGCACATAATCCAGCAACCAGGCATGTTCTGTGACCATCTGCACAGGTCAAGGACGCTCATCCTACTTGAACCCCAAGGCAGAATGGTGGGTGCTCAACCAAAAGCAAAGGCTGCAGCTCTGGTGGGGGAGTTTGCCCCATCTACCCCAGCAGTGGCTGAGGCCTCCACCCAGATGGAGCTGCTGAAGGAGGAGGCTGAAGTGCAGACTTCAGGCTGAAAGAAGTTCCAAGGCCTTTCTCCTGGATCAGGGGCAGGAAAAGGCTGCAGACCTGCCTGCCAAAGGTGTACCCAGCTAGATGACATCCTGTGGCAGGTGACTGAGCTGCAGGAGGCGGTTTGAAGGCTGCGTAACACTGGGGAGGCTGAGGAGTGAGACAGCTTATTCCAAGTGTAGACTTGAGTGGCCTCACAGCCCAAAACCAAACAGAAAGAAACTCCTCCACTGGAACACACAGAAGGAAGGGGAGCCAGCAATGCAGAAGAATGAAAGCTCCTAACATCAAAGACTTCCTTTGATGCCTGAGGTGCCCTTGCAGAACCACTTTGCTGCTCTGCAGACTGAATAGGAAAGACTTCTGTGCCCCTCTCTTTCTCACCTTATTGAAGAATTTTTCATACAGGACTGGTGCTTAAATTTCTCAAACTGTTAAAATGATAGCAGCATTAACATTTTCCTCCATTTTACTTACATAAGTACTTGATATTATGGATGCCTGTTTCTGTTGGGTCTACTTGGGTACAGAGCTTTATTTCCATGAGAGAAATACATTTTTCCTGAAAAGTGTCTTACAGTCACATTTTGAAAGAAGAAATTGCAAAACTGATTTAGTGCATAAATCAGATAAAATATTTATTTACAGACATGTAAAAATTATGTTACAACATTTTAAAGAAAACTGTAATGAACGATCAATCTGCTCTGCATGGGCAAACTCTGAATGTTTTAGTTCTAAATTGTAGTGGCACCAATTAAAAACATGACTGCTTACAAGATTGTAGCTATCTACATTGTTTAGGTACTGTGGTTTTTCAGAACTAAAAATGGAAATATAGAGAAAACTAATAAGAATTGCAACAATATGTAATACAAGAATTTATAAAAGTAAAAATATTTCTTCTTGATCCAAACTTTAAAGCTTTTTAGTAAATATTTTCCATTCATGCAGCTGCACAGGTTTGAAACAAATATCTGAAATACACAGAGCATATAGGTCTGTGTAGAAAATGAATTGATTTGATTCAGAACTTTAAAGGATTTTATAAGACTGTTGACTATCCAAACTGATTGACAAGATCTTTTGTTTCTTGTTCTTCCATATTTCAAGGGATGAGCAATGTTTAAAAATCCCACAACTGACAAAACTCATGTAAAACAATAAAGGTAGTGGTGGCAAACAACACCGAGCATACCACATACATGAACAGCAGAGAACTATCAAGATCTGTTGAAGCTACCAGCATCCTCTGTAGTGATTTTAAGCAAACATGCTATTGAGAACCCTTGCTAATAATAGACTGCATGGCGTAACAATCTTCTGGCTTGCAAATTAAATAGTGCCCCATGGTGTTATCAGAGGCGTCTTTTTGTGTTCAAAATATATTCAGGACTTAAACTGTAGTGTGAAACAGTGTCAATATTATGAATGTGCAATTATTTCTGTGAGTTTATAATCTAAGGGTAATGATTGTAAAGAATGTGTAAAATCTAAGAGTGCTTTCTGTGAGTATTAGTGCATTTGGAATGGAGGTGGTGAAGAGACAATATAGCTAGATGTTGCTCATATCTAGTTTATTAATACCAATATCAGAACTGATCTCCTTGGATGACATTCTCCATCTCTTAAGTCAGCCAAGGGGAAAATGCCCCTTTAGCTGCTAAGGTTTGGAGTTATTTTTTTTAACTGTCAGGCAAAGATGGAGATCCCAGAATGGCAATTCTTATTGCATTTTTAGAGTTAAGAATGATCATAACCTGTATTAAAAGATAGAAAGTGAAGAAGTATTTCACCCTCTGATTTGACCTAACATTTCACTTACAGAGAAGTAATTTTTTTTTTCTGCATTTTCTGGGAGAGTCAGCCTTGGCAAATTCTGAAGCTGTGATTCTTTATGCTCAAATATAACTACTTATTCTAGTCTTTCCTTAATTAAGTAGCTAGGTACCACCCAGCACTTATGTAAACCATGTAACTCCACAGACAATAGACAAGCTAAATATAAGGTACACAAACATAACTGCAAGTGCTATGTTACATAGTCTCCTAGTGAAGAAATTTTCCACTCAGTAATAGAAAATTAAATTCCAATGTATGCTTTTCTTCCAAATTTTTTGAAGAATATCAGTCTGTCTTTGATGATGGTCCCCATGCTCAAAACCTGACCAGAGACCTTGAGCTCCCACCTCCTCATACTCCCACTATTTGAGGTGAACCTATCATGTCAGAAACTGCTTTTTAAAATAGAAATTTAAAGTTCAATATTTTAAAGAGTCTGTCTGGTATCTTTTGTTTTCTCTTGCTTTCAGCCTACAGAGAATGATTGAAAGGGCAAGGCAAGGGTTCATCTCTGTAGTGCTGAATGATCCCAAATACCAAATACCTCTGGTCATGGATATCAATGGATGTCAGGTCTTTGTGCTGCAGACTGGAACACAGCTGGGTCTGAGCTCCATTTGACTGCCTAAGATACTTCCTAAGTTAATACTATTCCCTCTTGAAAAGCTGTAGTTACTAAATAATTTATTTCCTTGCAACTACTTTAAAAACATGTCTCTTTCTATAGGAGTATATCTCACATAAAGATGTAGATGATATATTCCTTGTTTCATGTCATCTGCAGTGCTAAGGAAGTCTGACTTCGGGGTGGTGAACAAACTGGTACTTTTATCAGAGAAGAAGACCTTTTGCCCATATCATATATGCTTTGATACCCTTAATGTCTCAGTAACACAGGAGAAATAATGCATCCATTCTGTTTGAAAGGAATTATGATTTATTAAGAAATTCTATACTGAGATTCCCCCTACAACATCTGTAATAATTAATTATTCTAACTTCAAGTTTTTAGGAGGGATTTAGGATTTTGTGAGTGGAAAGACTACTGCCAGAAAATAACCCAAAAAGTATAGGCTAACTCAGGCTGTCAGATGTTGACAGGCTATAAGTAATTTTCCTGGCTAGACAGGAGACTGACTGTCATGGAAACTTTCCATATGGTAACAACAAACAGCCTTTAGAGATTTGCAGGAACAGCTGTAACAATGTCTGATGAATGGCATCAGGGAGAGTGCTTATCTGAAGAAAGAGATTTACAGAAGGATCCAATTTACAGTTTGTCAAGGATTGCTCTCTTATTTTGACATTTTCACTTTTTAGAAGCTATCCTATTACTAAATATAATTATTTCCAATGAAAAATAAATTAAATAAAATAATGGAAAATACCATACAATGTATTTAAATGTGACACTGATCATAATGGTCTTGTTTGAATTAAACATTAAACAAAGAAGTGCAATATCACCTGACTCTAAACATGGTATAACAGTAAAACATGCTAATCATAAAAATAGCTTTTAGAAATATACATTTGTATACAGTGTTTTCCACACCTGTTAAATATGTCCTTCATATTATTATGATACAGTACATTGGCCTTTAAGACATCAAAATTAAAAAAATAATACCAATAATTAGCCAGAGAAAACCACATTTACAATCTAAACCATAAAAATCTGACAATTGTACAGCTTAGAACATATAAGAAATGGAATTTCTAATATTTGAACAATAACGTCCATTTTAATAAGTAAACTGAGTTTCATACAAATTGAATTAAAGGTGTTGCTAGCCAGTAAGAAACCGCAGTTCACAATATTCTGTGGGGAAGTCAGAGTTTCTCTTCTCAGCCTTCAGGGGGTTCACACATGACATCTCATCACTTGATCTGTAGAAACTGAGAAATGAAATGTTGGCTTTAGTATGAAGGCATAGAATTTCTTCCAGCAGAACCTCAAAAAGAAGCCAAGACAGCTGGGGAAAAGAGCGAAGAGGACTATGATTTCACTTTTTCACAAATCAAACAAATATCAATATCTATTAGATTTTCCCATCTTAAACCATCGAAGGCTAAAAGAAGAATAGTGTTCCTGCAGCAGTGGACAATCAGGACTGTGCAACAATCCTGGATTAGACTGTATGGACCAAAATAATAACAGTGAATCAAGCAAGAGCTGTTGAGGTTGAAGTATACCTGCTCTCAACAAGCTATGCAAACAACTGCTGCATAATGTCTATTTTAGCAGCAGGAAATAGAATAATGTATCTTAGCTGTTTTGCAATGAAATGCTTTATTTACATAATAGCATTCAATCTAAATAAATTGCATGTAGAATTCTTTGCTTCAGTCCCATCACACTATTTATATACCTTACTCCATTTCTATTGACTGTATGCTTTCAACAATGCCTATAGTTACCAGATTGATGGATCTTTCCTCAGTGGCTTCCCTTTTGTTGTTGCCCATTTTATTATTGTTCTTGTGTACATGCCGTAGGATATAATTGTATATCCTCTGATTTCTTTCGTTGTTTTACCAGCCACATTGTGAAACTGCAAAAATCCAGTATTATTCAATGCTTTTGAGGATCATTCTTCCATCAGAGGCAGAAACAGGTAGCATCTAAATATCTGAGTCCTATGATATGTGATCCATTAATACTACCAGCTTCAACTATGCATTCAGGGATGCTTCAGGGGAACATAAGACATACGAGCTACACTTACCCATAATAGTTTCCTAATCACATCTGTTTGGAAAACTGTCATTAGAAAATGTTAACGGAAGTAGATGGTTTCTTTTTTTAAACTGAAATTTTCAATCCAAGGGGGTTTTTTAATTTTGACAGGAAAAAGATATTTCAGTCAATTCCCCCCAACCTTTGGTTCCATCTTTTTTTATAACTAAACCAGAATACAGCTGACAAAATCTGGTGCACTTCTGATCAAAGCCTGAAAATTTTCCAGATGTTCTTTTCAGACAATTTCCACCTCTTTCAGTGAGTTTTAAGTCTGACTTTTCCTTATTCATTAAGAAAAAGGGGAAATTTCTGTTAAAATTTCAATTTATTGAAAACATGGTTTTCAAGTGAAAAGGATTTTACCAGAAATATCAGAGTCCCTGCAGGACTGGCCTCCTGCCCTTTGAAGCATTCAGGCATCAGATTTTTCACTTGTTGCAAAGAGAGCAACAGATTTCTGGTTGTGATCTTCTCGAGTAACCAGTATTAGGGAGAAGAGCTCAAGTGAGACATTTCAGAACTTTCTTCTTTCAGTTAAAACATCCTGAAATCATTCTCTACTTGCACAGAGAGAAATCTTCATCTCCCCTATTTTAGGTCTGATCCCTAGACAGACCTATCTATATGAAAAACGACACTTAAATTCTCCCCTTAAGTCTGTGAGAGGCCTAATGGCTGTTAAGTAGTTTTCATCTTAGAAGAAGTAAAAAACCCACTGTACATCCTATTAGCTCCAAAGAAGATTCCTCTTTTCTAGCCTTTTTTCACCTATGCTTTGCTGTTCCATTAAGCCATTATAAAAAGCAATAATTATGCAAGCAAGAAGAGAGGCAGATTTTAAAGTTATTTATTGAAGCTTTTTCCCCTCACCATAAACTTGTCAAGCATTTACCTCTCACTAACAATGAAGAGCTTCATTAGGTTACTAATGTGAAATGTTACTGCTAACCACATGGATCCAAGTCATCAATGCTGCTTTGCTTTTGTTTAGAACAAGGATATGATTTTACCAACTATACCAGTCCAAAATCTTGCATTCTTTCTTCTGTATGTGGGCTTCATATTTGCCTCTCAATGCAAATAATGTTAAATTCTGAGAAGAAACTTTAAAATCTGAAATAGTCAAGCTTTTATTTTGCATAGAATGACAGGAATCCTGGACTATGATTAATCTAGACTAAGGCAATGTTAATTTTCTCCTATTTCTTTCTTCTGAATAGTGTGCAGTTTATCATCTGGCTTTATGGTAGTGCTGATGATATTAAAAAGTCCTCATAATGACTAATGTTTTTCTGAATTTTTTTCATTTCTTTCACCTAATATATAAAACCACATCCCGACACAACAAGGATGAACTGAATTACATTTAAGCCAGCAATAAGGCTTTCATTTGATGTAGTTCTAACAGAAAACCACTTTAGAAAGTGTGATTTGACCATAATGCATTTTAAGAATTGAATAACCCAACTGAGCATGCAGACTTGGCATCTGTAGACAATATCAAAGAAACAGTATATTCTGTCCTAATTGCCATCATAATATCTGAAAAAAAGCTGGAGAGCAGTTATGGAATATTTATTGGTTCATTTTTCACCTAAAATTATTTCTGCTGCTTTTTTCCCTATCTGGATAACTTTTTGAGCTTGAGCTACTGAAAACACTCTTCTTAGGCATTACACTATTTCAGTCGTCCAGAAATGCTATTGCTACTGTTAATATAGTTCCAGTATGATCCTTCTGGCATTTTCACCAAATGTAAATTATACTAGACTAAATTAATTTTAACTATGTGCTATTACAATGTATATAATATAGGAAAGCCAATATTAAATATTAAAAACCTCACTAAATGAAAGTGCAGTTCTACTTAATGGGTCCCAAACTATAATAATTCAAAATGATGGAGTAAATCATATAAAATTCAGTAAAAATGTAGAGTTTCCCATCTTGCCTTTTAGATATTAAATGGTTAAAAACTTACCTCCCCTCAAAGCCTAGATAACTCCTATCTTTATGTCTGTATATTTTTAAGAATGCTCTGCACGTAAAGGATATTTTCTTGCGAGAGAGCCTCGTCATCAGATCACCTGCCAGGGCACCATTTCCTCAATGCTCTGTGCTTCATAGTCAGGAAACACAACATAGTAGGAGTAGCTTGCACTCTGTATTGCTCCTAAAAGTCTTTTACGAGAAGACAAGCTCAATATATGATAAAGACCTGCAGGCATCATTCTTTCAGAACAAGATGCACCAGCCCCCTTTCCCTGGCCTCCCCAAGCAGCTGAAAGCTGTAATGGTAGACCAGCCCTTCTGTGGTTGGGGAGCTACTGACTTTTCTAAACTCATTCAGATGGACTTTATCTGTCTGAAGGAGACAAGAGTTTTTCTCTGCTGGCTGGATCTAAACAGAGCTCAGCCTCTTTCCTGCTCTGATTTATTTGTTCTTCCTTGCAGTTTGAAAAAGGGAGAAGAACAGGAATATGTTCCTTCTTCCCAATAAATACCTAGTTTCCGTCTCACAGGGTTTATAAGAAAAGTGTGCTGGACTTCCTTTACCATGCTCATCTTCTGGATTTAGATGTACAAGAATAAATATTACTTTATGAGAGCATAAACTGAGCATGTATTCTTGGGAGGGAGTATTAGCAATGCACTATGACTAAATGACAGAAGAGGTATACATGATTAACATCTTCCCTTGTAGTATATTAGGAAAATGTTTAAAGAAAAGTTCCACAGAATATGGTTGTTACAGACTTTACTATATTACCCTATAGTAATTATAAGCAATAGGAGCATCCAACAAGTATATGCAAGATTTTCATCTGACAAAATGCATGTTTTTAAACAATCAATGACTCTGAATGTCTTTTGTGATTACATTAATCTTAGAAATTCCCAGAAAATGCATCTGAAAAGTGAATGGGTAGATGATGGTGCACATATACACATGAACTTGAAACCCAAAAACTCAAGTATCCTTCCTCTTGCTCTCCTGCCTCTTTTTCCTTGACAGACAAACACATTCTCATGACTGGAATTCTGAGTGCAATAACTGTAATGGAGGCATCTCAAGCTACTGTTGACCACTTTTTGGTAAAATTGCACATCTACCTCTTGCAGGCTCCTGTTAAGTAGGAAACTTTATGCCTGACACCTTTCTAGGTTTCTGTTGGTGTCTGACTAGGCTTTGGCAGTGGATTATGTGACTGTCATACATCACTTTCTGCAAAACAACTGCAAGTCCCATTAAAATGCAGCAGGTGTGATATTCTTTCACTCCCAGCACTGGCCCTCATTCTTGCACTACCTCAAACTGCAATTGTAGCATGATTACTTTGGTTGCATCTGAGGTTCACTATACTGTTATCTCTACAACTGAATCTAGGTCCACAGATGCTGTTCTTACACCCTCTAGGATAGCATACTCTGTTTCATCTCTAATAATTTCTTTTGATTATGAAATGTTCTTTCTGGACAGCCAAGGAGGTGAAAAACAATCTGTTTGCAGATCAGGCATTTTTTAAAAATCCCAACAAAACAACCAAAACTTAATTAGCCATTATTGATCTAGATATTTACATAAAATAAGAAAAATCAGAATGCAGTACAGAGAGTAGCAGTGCAAATTGTCATTCTGTTTATTTGCTATGTCTAACTCAAGACATAGCTTGAGTTTCTCTGACTTTTCTCTTAAGCAGGCAGCTTGCACTGAGTGCAAAACCAGTAATTTATGTTTGAGAGGTACCATGGGGGCATGCTCATTTGCTGGCTTTTACACATCATTCTTCATCATCAGCAGAAAACCATAAGGAATGAGTAGGGCTTACCAAGGAACCTTGAATTTGTATTAGCTATCACATTGACTTCCCAGCTGTACATCTTGTACTTGGTCCCTTGATTTAAAGTGGGAAATCTCAAATTCAGGAACAGTTATATATTTAGTTTAATGCCCCCATATGAAGTGTAAATGCTCGGTTGAGTAGATGTGAGCAGGGGAATGTGAATGTATGTTACACACTTGCTGCTGTCAGCTGTAACCCTTGTAAAACATGACAAAATTATGGCACTAAAGCAAAACTGTTTATAATGAGCTAGTGATAGAAGATTCACTGCATTTAACAAATAGAGGGATTGTACAGTTTGATAAATATTAATAAAGAATAATTGCAAGAACTGGTTGCACCTTCTTTAAATCTTTCTTCAAATGATGAAACCTAATCATTATGCTTT